CGGGATTGAAATATGTAGTCATTTGAAGTTCACAATATGTATACTGTGTTTGTAATAACTGCAGATTTTACAAGCACATTATTCTTTCCATTAGGATTAAAACCTCACCGAATAGCAATTTGTGAAAGAATTCTAGCAGGGCCCAGAGCCCAGAACTCTGACCTCTGATGAGATACTTGGCAGCAAACAAACTCTAGATCTAGGCAAAACATCTGGTTTGAGTTAGACTTCCTGAAAAAAATAGCCCCTGTACTGGGGAAACTGGTATTCACTCAGCTTTGTATATATACTTTGACTGACTCCAACATTGCTAAGGGGGAAAAAAGAGGAAGAAAAAGAAAGGACTCCACTAGATGCTTGTCAATCACGACCAAGCTCCTTGGTGGCCCCACCAGACTTAAGTACTCTTAATACACAGAATAATCTATTTCATTCCATATTGTTCAAGTTATTTTCTATGTTACAGCATACACAGTCTACAACAACATTAAAGTGAGTCCAACTTTGCTACTAACAAATAATGCATTTATTTAATGGCTATAGGAGAGGAATTGGTGCATATATTAACCTCCATTCTGTTTATATGAACAGAGGAGGAAAAGACAAAATCCCCGCACTTGAGAGCGGTAAAGTTTGGGAAGAAGTTCTACTTCGAAAATCTGATTTATTAAAAAAAAACTTGAAACTTGATCTTCTAATATTATAGTACAGAAAAAAGTCCTGCATTACTTAAAGATATGAAAACAACCCAGAGACAGGGCATGATCTAAGGGTTCCAGTCCTCTGCCTTTCTGCTAAGCAGTTTTAGGGAAACAAATGTGGCAATTCACCCACTGCAACGAACAAATCTCTAGTTTACTTCAAAGTCATTCAGGGGGCAGTTTCGAAACTGTCCCACCTTCTTACATAATAAACACATGGCCTTTTGAAAACATGTTCTTATATATGAGACTGAAGATGGTCCCAAACCACAAATGAGGCTACAGGCAAAAGCCTATCGAAGGTTGGTGGGCTGCCTCAACAGGCATGTAACAGTGAGATATTTCAGGACAGTACTGCCTACCTTGTTGGTGATTTATTTTGAGCATCTAGTAAAAGTCAATGTGTAACCCAATTTGCCCCAGGTCACACAAGATAATCATGGGAGCATGATTCAGGACCTGGGAGAGTTTTGTTAATCTTAGGTGGTGGCAAATTGACATTTTACCTTCCTATGTATCACCTTAATTTAATTATTACTTTTGTGAGTAGAAGCAAAAAAAGTATTCAAATTCTGCCTTTTGAAAGAACAGCATGGAACAGAAAGCAAATGAATAGTTGTGCAGTTTTCTTTAAGTACAAATTAACTTTTCCACTCATCGCCATTTGGAAGGACCCTACTGAATAGCTACACGTTATAACACATCAATATCCTTCTCTGAGAAGTATTAAGTTCTGCAAAACTCACCTCTACTACACTGCAGGGAGCAATTTCAGAACAAGTATAATTCTTTACATTCTGCTAACAAAGGTACAACTAACCAAACTGAAGGCAGATTCTGCACAAAGATCCTGAGAATTTGCACGATACTCATTTACCAGTCCAAGTATAACGAACACCATAATTCTGACATATTTATGACTGTTATTTACCAAGTTACAATATTTGTGTCATCTTAATGCTATAAAATTTTTAAAAATTTATATTTCTGCTAAAGTCTTGCTTTTTTCTATTCTAACATGAGCCAAGAAAAAAGAGAGAATCTTGTTTCTCTGAGTTTAGTTTCTTGATTGTGTAACTTCTACATAAATATTCTATTTGCCAACTTTTGTTATATGTAGCTCAAATTCAGCACCTCTTATTTCCACATTCTGGAGACCTGTTTGTACACATAATCTCTGTATTGTCTTAGTTCATGATAAAATTAACACTTCTCTAAAAATACTCATGCCATTCCAAAAAAAAGTAAACAAAGTCAAACAAGACAAACTCCTCTCATTTGAATTTAATTTTCTGAGACTACGTTGTAAAAGCAAAAATGCTTATTAGTACTTTCCCACTTAGAAATGAGATGAAGTAAATCTGTTTGGTTCATTTCAGAATAAATGGCACTGCAGAAACATCATTAAGAATGCATGCAGTATCACGAAACATGCACTCGTAACCACACGTAGGGAGTGAGTGATAAAATTTTAGAATAATCAGAATCCTCAATGCCTACTTTAGTTCTAGGTGAGAGATCACTTTCCCTCAACAACATGACCATGTAACCATCTGTACTTGGGATCAGAGAACAGACATGCCTATGAACATGACATCTAAAGAGTTTTCGTCATGTCTGAGGATGATAAAGCAGAAAGCCACACTCCCAATTCTGAAAGTGGAAAATGAATCCCAGGGAAAGGGACAGTGCTGTTGCTTCCCTGTAACGACAGTAGCAAGTAAACCATCTCCCTGGACACTGTGCACAAGGCAGAGAGCTGGACAACACTGAACAGAAGGAACAAGAAACAGAGCTGATTCTGTATTCTCAGACTTCTTTTATCCTGGAATTAAGCAGCCAACTCTCTTTCCAAAAGGCATAGAGAGAGCACTCCACGGCTAACCTTTTAGAAGCTACAGCCACAAAGGCACATTTATGAAATAAGCCCTGACTTGTTAAAATGTAATACTGCCACCACCACTGGAGTTTACCTTAGTGACTTAAATAAATATAAACAGAGTTATAAACACTATATGTTTTATAGGGTTCTATGACCCGGGGTGGGGGTGGGTGGGAGGGGAGTCACCTTGCTAAGTAACCTTATGGCAAATGCAAAAGGAAGCTAAATTTGGTTTGCTCATATTTTCTGAGTTCCCAAAATATAAGCAGCAGTGTGTGGAACTTCACTCCATTAGCTGGAAGACCACTCGTTTCATTTTGCACACTGGCCTTTCAGGGAAGCAAGAAGAAAGGGTAATACACAAGAATGCACCAAAGAACTCCAGGAGCGCAAGCAATAGTGTAACAATCACTTGGTTGTTTACCTGCATCTCTTGTGTTTTCACAAGAGCTTGCCAGAGATCTTTCCACGCACTGACGCTGAGGGTAGAAAGATCTGGAAAATGAGTTCTGTGACAAGCAGACACAGCTAGCTAGCCCGGGTGGCCAAACCGCCCAACAAGTTTCTAGATCAGCAAATGACTGTCAAACATTTCCAAATACTGCGCTAGTTGATGCTGTCCTGGAAAATGTTTGCTTAGAACATGCTAGTAGGTACTATCCCATAAACAGCTTTTCAAAGATACATTGTTTCAGATGTGTTAATATACTAGTGGAGATTTTGTAAAGTTTGAATATAGTTTTTGAGTCATCACCTGGAAGACATCATCAACAACACTTTATTTTAAATAAGCCCAGATTATATTCAGTTGAGTAAATTTTAATTGGTTTTAATTTAAGGTCCTCTAAAGTTAAGGCCAGCCTGCTGAAGAAAAATATTAAACTACCTAGAACCCTGTGTCAACACATGATGCTACTGGGAATGGTAAGTGAATTAATTTTCCAAGGAAAATTAATTACTTATGACTTACAGTTGTAAAAGCAAACAACGTAACTCTGGATTAGGGCACATTCAATTTCTGTTTGTAGTAGCGATTAAATTAATTTCATATAATTCATGGTATGTAATGGAAAGCTGAGCAAATCTGAAATTCTAGAAAATGACTGACAGAGAAAAATATATGTATTTATTAATCTGATTCAGAAATAAAGGCCATAGATGTTCATCACTGGATAATAGGTCAGCATTTTCTAATGGATTGACAATAACGGATTTTTAGCACAATTTTTGAGAAAGCATTACCAAACAGTAACATCTAATACAGAAAGTGAACTAGAAAGGTATTATAATATTCTATGATGTCTCCTGGCACCCTGTCCTCCCCCCGAGTAGGCCATTAGAATCAGGATCTGCACACTTTTCATTTATAACAGACTGATGTTTATCCACCTAAACTTGGAGCAGCTGAAATGTAATACAGCATTAAATGATTTGGGGATGAAGTTCTCAGAATTACCTGATAATCCAAGCAGTAAAGCGCCTTTGAATGGATCATCTGTGGCTCATTTGTGCGAACTGTGCACCTGAGCTCCACTAAAGCAACAGGTCGGGGCTAAGGGAACCCCACCACGGGCACAGCTGCATGCCGGAGAAAGCCTACATCACCTCCTACAGCTGCAATCAGGGCAGGATTAATCTCTTGGTTTTGGATTCCAACCTAGTGGTATACAGCTAGTGTTTTAAGTAAGGACTAAATCATGATGGTAACTGTAATTGAACAGTTTAAAAGCAGCTAAAAATGTTATTTTCTTGGTGTCATAAAGCTCACAAAAATCACATTCTGGTAATGACCCCCAAGTACTAACTGTTATCAGGAACCTGATGACATCACTTATGGTCTAATTCCCGTTAATAGCTGGGTTCATTTGGCTAGGCAAGAGGAAGACTTTTGACAAATACTTTTAAAGTAAAATATTTTTATGACTTACATTTTAGAAAAGAGACTGAACTTTAGATGAAAGACACATTATGAGCAGAATGAAAATATGTACTATAAAATATGTATTCCACAATTTGTCTTTTCACACATTTTAAACTAACACATTCCTTTTCTTAGTGTCTCATAAAGAGAATTACTATCCACTGTAGCTTTTAAAATATGCCTTCATACAGAGAATAATAATTTATATAATACCTTTATACCAGAGGGAGAACACTACCGCAGGTATCTTAAACTCCATTTCAAATGTATCAAGCCAACAAGCAGAGCAACAGAAGACACTCTTGAAAGGTACAAGGAGACCACACTGCAGTTGGAAGGGGCTTTCCTAAAGCCCCCTCCTCTCCTAGAGCGACGTCTCGTCTAGGATGTGACTGAAACAGGATTAGAAACATTAGGTTGTATTCTTCGTAAGATTGAGCGGAGCAGCAGCAGCAGCTCACCTTTCTGGCTTCTCCTAGAGCACAGTTTCCTCATTTGAAATGTGCTCTCTCTCAGCAGTGCAGAGCCAAGAGTCTGTTTATAAAAGGGCCTGGAAACGTCTCTACAGTAAGAGGCACATTCATGTTCCTTTCAGCTGGTAAAGCCACCCTGGAGGCTGAACCATCATTGCCCATGCAAAGAACTTTGATTTAACTTCATTTCCTTCCACCCCTGGCTTCACCGTCAGAACAGTATTCTAGGAGATGTCAGACAGGCAGCGGACAAGCAAGGATGGCCTTCTGGACGAGAACAAACCTTCCCTACATGTCTGCAGACTAAAACAACCTTTTCAGATGGGTGATGGGTCCTCCAGAAGGTAAGTGTTACTTCAAGACCCCCACTAGCACTATTCTCAGAAAACATGCATAAAAAGTCCCTCTGCACTCCCTTCCGCTTAAAATGCACTCAGAAGTTTCTTCAGGCAGCTCTCTTTCATTACAACCCACATTCATATTTCAGTAGAACGACTATAGAAGAATTGCTAATTTCTTATCTAAACGATGACGTCTGGCAAACATTATGTAACCAACTATAAATCTACAACAAGCCCCAAACACTAAAGAGCTAGTAATTACATGATTAGAAACAGCTTGATTAAGGGAGAGGGAAGGCAGGCTGTCAACAAACAAACAGCTGCTTCTTATTGACAACGCATTACCAGATCGTGGGTCCCGACAAACTAGGGAGTTTGTTTCTGTTGTAGCGGCTGTATTTGTTTTTAAGCATTCTACTCTCTTCTGCTCCCACCTCCAGAATAGTGAGTCAACTTAAACACTGGATATGAACCACAACAGAAGACTCAGATGTACACGGATAACAAGTAAAGCACTACAGACTTGGATAAAAGCCTCTAGTTAATCACTAACAGAAGCCTCACGTGCGAGCTCCAATTCAACTCCCAACGCCTGTCTATCTCTCCCTGGGCAAGACATTCTGTCACTTCTATTGGTGAGCGGCAGCTCAGGCCTCGCTCCCTCATTATGACCACTGCAAAGCTGCTGCTCTGGTCCTTTGTTCTGGAAGTTTCTCCTACAGCCTCTTCTGTCCTCCTCCCTCTGGGCAGACAGGAATGGACATGTTTCTGTGTGTCAGTATAAACTGAGTGACCTTGACATTCAATGATTCTATGAGTACTTGATAAGCTTATCACATGAATAAATAATTTGTAATAAAATGGATTCTAAAAACAACAACAAAAGGGCCAAAGATTTCTAAAGTCCATGGAATTTACTTAATGTCTCCTAAGAAACAAAAGCACACTTTCATAGCCCAACCTTCAGGCATTTTCATGCCCACTTGTTCTTTGTCTTTCTAGTTCTTCTAGGAAACATATAGGTATCCTTATTTTCCAACAAAGCATGAAGAAGTGGAATTATTTCCCCAAGGAGACATGGCAAGGTAAAGCCATGATGCCCTAGGCTGTGTTCTCTTCACTGAACCACGCTAAAAAATGAGGACGGTGCCATGAGGATGTTTATGTAATTTCAGTTTAAGACAGGCTCTGTCTGTGTAAGAATTTTAGCTCTCAGGGAAATTTTGATTAAACACACCCTGAATTACAGCTATTCAATTGCAAAGATGGGCATAGGTCAGTGAACATATACAATGATTAACCAAGAATTTTAATTTAGAATTCAAATTTCCTTTTACAAACAGAGTGATAAATATAACATTTCCCACAATTTTCCCCCCTCCTGTCTCACTCTCAATTTGCAGGGTGACAATTATTTAGGCCATGCTCACAGAGTAGACTCGGTAGGACATGGTCTGTATTCTACTGCCATCACAAGGCCTGGGAGCAGCTCATGTTGCTAACTTTCATTAACACATCCACAAATTTATATATTAAAAAGCTGCCTAAATTTGTTAACGCACATCTTTGTAAATTTCAAGTTATAAATGATGGCTGGATCACTTTTTTTTTTTAAAGCCTGACTGTATTTCAAACTGGGGAGTGGGGCGATTGAAGTAACCAGGAAGCTACTTGTAGCCTATCAGAAAGAAGAAGTGCGTTAGTTAGGCAAGCAGGCCTGGCAGCGTACAGAGAAGAACTGAAGGTGCACTAGGAATCCAGCCTTATCCAGGATCCAGGCATCAGAAAAGAGATGCTCTGCACTGAGCTGTGGTGGGTACCTAGAGAAGACAGACTTCCAGAATTAAAAACAACTCCCAAGAATACCTGTTAAATTTCAATCTTCTAAAATGTAGCAAAAAGAAAAAAATTATGGAGAAGTCCACTTTTACTAGGTCACATATTGCCCAACAGTGTCTTCTTCCAAAATGGTTTTGTCTACTAGTGAGAAGACACGGGAGATGGAGAGATGCAATTAGTGTGGCCAAAATAACGCTTGCCTACTGCCCAACTTCTTTTAAGATTAAGTTTCTGCCTCGGGTGGGGCTTTCCTGATGGTCACTGCTGAAGAGGAAGCTGCAGCAGCCTGCCATGTCTGGGCACACACAATCATGGGGACAGCTTGGCTGTGACGACTGAGCAGCATCTGCTCAGGTGCCAGCACCCTTCCTAGCCACACTTAGAGACGCTGCAGCCCACACTGCCCTCTGCATTCTCAGACGCCACGAATGACGTTTCTCCTGCCCTTGCCAACTCTTCCCGGAAGGTATGTTATGGGGTGATCATTTCTGGAGTGAATTTAGGACTCTGAGGAGAAATGTGGTCTGCTGGCTCCCAAAGACAAGACAAACTAGAAAGGGCATTGTTATTCTTACTTGGTGGAAACTGGTGATGTCTCAAATATTAAATGGCTTCGTTTTCTTGTCAATACAATGCCTGACTGATTTCTAATTTTATTTTATTATTTTATTTTGTGTACTGGGAAAATCTGGAAGATGAATGAGTCTTTCAGAAAATGCCCAGGAAGGATGACCTACTTTCACTCACCTTCCAGGCAGACTCACATCGCTACATTATGCTGGATGTGGCTTGGCTCCAGTGAAAACAACCTTCCTCAGCCATTCAATGGCTGTTTATGAGTATACAACAGGAGCTTTATAAGCACTCTGAGCTTGTTAGATGCTCAGGCCCCCTTCCGACCTCACTCTGTAGCACACACACCTCTGTGTGGTGGAAGGCTCTCAGCTCCTCTCACAACTCCCCTCCAGTCACAAATACACACTTGTCAGGGGCTCCTGCAGGAGACTTTCCCACTGTGGTTGTGTGCAGACGTACAGTAGGAAGAGGAAGACCTCCGACGCCTGACTTTCCCCCAACTCCTGTCTGCTACTACACAGTCATCTTCATTTACTCAAGCATAGAGGTGTCAATTTATTCCATCAAGGCCTCTTTTTTAAGGTACACACAGGGGTTTGGAAACTGTTGAGATAGGCTACCTACTTCCCTAATGGCCCCACACATAGATTCTCAGCCCCACCTTCCCCTGGAGGTCACTGGCAAGGACTGTTTGGCTTAGATTCAGTAAGAGCTCACAATAAAACAAAGGAAAATTTCAGGTTTAAAATGAGACAAAAACATTACAGGGAAAAAGAAAGAATTGTTTTGTAGATAAGCTTCACACTCTGGTGTTGAAAGTTAAGGTCCACAAATCAAGCGTCAGAGCTGGGCTGTTCCCCTGCACTCTCAGTGAATCACGCTGCGGTTAGTTGAAAGTGCTGTTCACATCATAAATTAACCACCTCATTTCCTTCATCACCAAAATATACACAGCACCCCCATACAGATTTGTTTTAATAAAAGTAATAAAGGCAGCCCGGAGGCCATGGCTGTTATGACATAATCACACCTCTGAGATTTAAAAGCACTCCTTTGCACATCATGCCTCAAAGTCTCTGCCCCCAACAAAACCTAACTGAACTCATACCTTCTGTGCCCATTTATTCCAAATAAATAAGGAAACAAAAGATGTAGACACATTAGGAAGACTTCTCTTTCAATTACACATTTGAAAGCATACAATGCTAAAACTGTACAACAAACAACACAGATATCTGCTCTTGGTTATTGCAAAATATATCTCATCCCAGTCAACAGTGTCCAACAACATCGAACAAGCAGCACGCTCACCTCCAAGCAAAGGTGTTTCCTAAAATCAGGCAACACACTCTCTCCTTCCCGAGGACTGAAAGAGGTAATTCTCTACAACTCCTAGCAAATGAACGTTCTTGCTAACAAACAGTATCAAACAATGAGAATAATTGAGAGGGAAAGAAAACTTTCATAAATTCACAGTCTTCTGGGCTTGATCCATTTTTAGCTCCTTTGGATTCCTCTCTTAGACTACCAGAAAGATACTGCAATGCAACTGTCCACAAAAGATGGATTTGGTAGTGTCGCATGCTACTGGTGAACTCACAGTAACTCAGCGTGTCCAGCTCTCATGCACTGTGTCATTTTGCAGACACAGGGTTCTTTTCTAGAGGACCATAGATTTAATGTGTGCTATCACTCTGCTACTGATGATGCCTCCCTTTGGATGTAAAATGGAATGGATAATTACCGGTGCAGCTTTTTAAGGACCGTGGTTAACAGCCCTCCACATACAAAGTTATGATTGACGTTTCTGAATGTGCCAGATATCATAAATTCAAAATATACCATTTTACATGTCCAGTTCAGAAGTGGTCCTTTTAATATTTATACATTTTCTCTCTTTTCTCGGTATTAATTAACTAGTACAAATTTATAATCTTATAGTTCAGGGAATTGAATCCACGACATTCCACACTCGAGGCATGTATACCACTATACCAACAGCCTCCCAACTACCTCCCCATGAATATATTACATTGCAGACAGTTTTCTGCCTAATTTAAAAATTGTGTTCAAGATTCTCCATGGTATGCCAGTAACTAAGACAAAATTATATCTATATAAATACCTAATTGAACATTTTAGAGTAATCTTAAAGCAACTTAAGATCACACCCATCTAAAATAACCTTTCTATGATTCCTATTCAGCCTCCGGAGACTTGGTCTGACTAGGGGGCAATGAGGGAATGAAGCAAAGACAGAGGGACTGACACAGAGAAACAGGAAAGTTGGGACTAGGTGGCCTGGGTTCTGTGATGAAGTCTTGGCATTCCAGAAGTTTAGCATGTTTATTATATTGAGTTGAACCGAGGTGAGACTACTACATACAGCTGAGCGAGGGGTGGCTATTCCATACAAACAGGGAGGCGGGGCTTATGGTATACAGCTGGATCAAGGGGACAGGTTTGTCTAATCGTGGTAGGGGCAGACTCCGTAGTGGAGCAGTTGAAAGCATAGAAATTATGGATTCACCAGACTCAGTATAAATGACAAATGGTGTTTTATTGGGGGAAGAACTTACACAGAAAACAGTGATTGTCACGGCATTGCTGCTCCAAAGATACAGACCCTGCCTCCCCATGCTCTCTGCGACCTCAGCCCCACCCCATCTCCGATCCTCCCCTTAACGGGTCATGTCCACACCTGTAACCACGCCCAAAAGGCGAGGCCACTGTTACAAGTTCACAGGCAAATACGTTGCTACATAGCAGTCTTCCATCTGTAAACATCTGTAAACTATGGTGGACTTTTTCTGCACACACTATCAACACATGCTTCACTCCAAGGGATGGTTTTTATATTTTCTCTGGGTCCTTGACATGGCTGGCTCAAGTCCACAGCACACATCCACTCAGCACATCACACACTCAGGGCTTCCTCTGCTCCCAAGGTTTTCAATTGCTGATTTTAAGTGAAACTCACCATAAGGAAATGATGTTAGAAAGCATCTTTAGAAGACATTTTATGACCTCAGGTTATTGGGTAGATGGCAGATTCAGTAAAGAAAGAATTACTTTCCTAAAAGTTTAACTAGTATTGCTGCCATGTACTGGACATAAAGCACTGCTATGACAAGGAGACAAGAATAAAGTGGCATTAGTCGTTTAAGTCACTACCTCAGCTTTGGGACAAATCACACTTAGAAGCATGTAAACAAAGCATATGAACTAATCCAAAGGCCTGCAGTCTTCGGTGGAGGAAAATCAGCAAAGCTCAAAATCAGAGGAGACCACATGTAAATGAGACAAAACATCTTCAGGACATCAAGGTCTTAGCAAATAAGGCTCTTTAAAAGGAACATGCCCATCATAACTTACTAAAGTGGGGTATGAGACGGGAAGACTTTATGACATACTAAACTCATGCCGTTCGTCTTAAAGAGTGATGAAAACACAATGGTTGAAGAACCTGCAGACATACACATGCATACTCACACCATGCCCCCTTCTCTCCCCCCACACACCCCTATGGCAGTCAACATCCTGATGGGAAACAGTTCTGATTGCAAAGGTAGATTTCTACAGCCAAAGAGCTGAACTCATTTGTAAAACAAACATAAAGGAATGAGAACTTTTAAGGGTCAAAATGTAAGACTAAAGGATAGGAGGATTTTTAAAATATGTTTGTCTGAATGGCATTTCATAAATGTATCTCGAGTGCGTGCGTGCGTGTGTGCGTGCGTGCGTGCGTGCGTGCGTGTGTGTGTGTGTGTGTGTGTGTGTGTGTGTGTAAATGGCTATGGATAGTAGAACATTTACCTAGCATGTGCGAGGCCAGTGAGCTTCTCAAGTCCCTCTTCCATTTCCTTGCTTAGGCCATTCCTCCTGTGTATGTGTCTCCTCACACACGCTGCTTCCTCCTTCCTTAGCCTCCAACATCTCCCTCTTCCAACTCTCCCTTCAAAAACAGTCTAGTTTTGACCTTCTTTAAAGATCTGTAAATGTGTGTCTCTATCAGGTACATTTCTCATTCAGTCCTCCTGTCATAGTCAAACTATTCCTGTTATGGTCGCCACTGAACTTTTCTTTATATCAATTTTATATCTTGAAAATTTACTTGCCAATAAATAAAACGTACATATTAACGAGGTTCTAGATGACGCCTGACATATGCATATTCTATACATTTTTTAATCAGGTTTGCTGTATCTATCTCTTCAAATACCATTTCTTTATGGAAAAAGCAGTCAGAAGCCCCTACTTCTCTACCAATCATGAAGTACGCATCTGCTGTCTGTGGTCTCCCTCTGCACCAGGGCACCAGTGCGTCTTCCTTAAGTTGAACGTAATACTCCTCACCAAATCCTTCCCATTTCTCTCTCCCTCCTTCCATTTGAAAGATGAGACATTAAAGGTGTGTCTTCAGTTATTATCCTGCTTACTCCCTGTAATGGTTCATAGAATGTTGTTTGCTTCCTCCGATGCTTGGGTTACCTGATGGGAATTCCTGATTATCCTGCTGTTACTGTCCCTGTAATGTGCAGTCAAGATACTAGCAGTCTTATGAAAAATCCTATTCTGACTCAGTAGCACTCAATGGAGTCTGGGAGGTTTTGAGGTGGCTGTCTTGTTATAATCTGGGTGCTTTCTGAAAACACAGAATCTCGCTGCACACCCCAGATGCACTGAACCGGGGTTTGGATTTTAACAAGACCTCCAAGAGGCACACAGGGGTGGGGTTACAGCACATCCTAGATGAAAACCTGAGTGGACTGGACAGGCTACAAGGCTCTTCCCCCAAATTCCCTATCCATAGGCTTGAAATAACCAATTCCAAGGAAGTACCAACAGCCTATGGGGTCCCACAGGGCCTGGGTACTAGAGTCACAACACCTGTTGCCATGGGAGACCAAACCCAGACCAAGCAAAATAAAATCTGAGGAGTGTGGCCTAAGCTGGGTTGTTTTTCTTTTTAAAGTTTTCCTGCTCAACCCGAACATTTCTAGTTCAGATCATTTCAGAGTAAGAGAAAGGGTTAGTGCTGCAACACTAATGGTACA